TTTGGATGATGGCAATGGACTTTGTATAGCTAAGAGAAGTGGCACCAAGTTAATTCATTTTAATTGCTCCTTGTATCGTGCATGTCCTGTGAAATTTATGCCTTCCATTACTAAGTCTACTCATATACATCCTGTAAAGATTATTCTACTTTTATTCTTCCTGGTATTCTTTTTTGATTACTTGATTATCAAATCTAAAGGTTTTTTTGCTTTTTATAGTCGTTTGTACCTCCTAGTATCTTTTTCTTTGCTCCAATCATTGTCACTATTTGTCGTAATGTGCAAATTGATTGACTTGCTTTACAATTAAGGACCATTTGTTTTATTTTCTGACTGTCTTGTGGTGAGAGGACCAATTTAAGGAGAGCTGGTCGTCGCCTTGACCACGTAGATGTAAAGGCCAAAGCTTGCAGACATCATACAGACAGCCATGCATACTTACACAGACAGCTTATCGTTACACTCGTCAATTCGCATTTTATCCATGACGCTCTGCCCCCAGGCCCCTACTCCCTTTTCCTTTTTCCCTTTGATCTAACCCGCTTGTGTTGCTAGACTCTTCGAAATTTTCTGGTCTAGGCCAAACGTCCGTATTTCCCAAGGCGACGACATCTTTGCGCCATTTCAACAACATCATATCTCTGTTGTTTTCTTTTTCCCTCGTGAAAACAGGATACCCTTACTTTATTTGCTTGCTACAGTCAGTCAAGCCGAGCCTATGATTGCAGCGGATGTCAGAAACAGGTGTCTGACCCCGTATATCTGAGCTCCTCTTTCGGGCGCTTAGGAATTTCGCTTGCGCACAACCGTTTGGGCATAGAGATTTATGCGCATGAGTTTGGGCTCATTGGCTTGGGCGCACAGATTGACAGGGTCTCCTTGCTGTACTACGCGCACAAATGTGTGCGTGTGCATTCTTCTGTTCTGTCTACTAGGCATAAGAAGCGGCGCCTTCGAGAGGAATTGAAAAACGAGAATGCTCTTGGCTGCATCTGACGGGAACAACTACAAGGTGGTGCCTGGTGAACAGGTTTGGCCATCAAGTAGTTGTTCAGACCAGGCCCCTTAAGCCTACATCTTACTTGCTTAAGAATAGGGTTGGTCACCAGTGGCCCCGCCATAGAACACTATCTTAAATGTTGTTCTTTCTGGTTTAACAAAGCTAAACACTTTGTACTGTCGCCAACTTGGCTATAAATGAAGTTATTTCCCTTTATCTTCAATGTGTGATATATTCATGTATGTGCACATGCCTGCATATCTACTTGAGCATCATCTGCCTATCTGACAAAGCCCATCTGTGTTTTTCTTTATGCATGCATGCACTTTTCTTTGTTTTTATATCTGTATCTGTCTATTTTCTGCTTGTATAGATAGACATGTTGTCTTTATGGTTGTAAATATGTGGATATCTGCATGGGCATCAGTCTACTCATACATGACTTTCACTTAAACGATAAGGCGGAGATTCGAACAGAGCGGAGTCTTTAGTCTAACCAACTGAGTATGTCAGGACAGCGTACTTGCTGCTAAGCCCTTAGCTTACACAGCTTATTCGATATATGATTATTCAAACGGAAACAAGCTTTTCAACGAGCGAAATTTGTATGTAACATAAATTTGCTCGTTTTAGAAGAATGCCGCGAAACTACAAGGTCATCTTTAATTAATTAAGGTGATTTAAAGAATGAATAGATTTTTTTAACACTGATATATTAGGCCTCAGATCCTCTTAAACTTCACTTAGCTGTTACTGACCCGGCAAGGTCGAAGCTGTAATCCAACTAGATTTGAAAACCGAAGATATGAAGACCAAAATGTTGTAGCCCTCGGTATGATCGCAGCCTCCTTTCGATTTATACAATTGGGCTGAACTTACTTTCATAATTTGGTCTTGTTGTCAGGACGACTTCGTTGAACGCACCTTATCCGAAATTCTCTGTCATAGTAGTTATCATAATTCCCAGCATTATGTCCATGGTCTGATGCTGGAAATTATGATAACTACTATGGCAGAGTACTTCGGACAAGGGGCGTTTAATTAAGTCGCCCTGACAACAAGACCAAATTGTGAAAGCAAGTTCAACCCAATTTTATGGATGTGAGAGCGTGTAGAGGCAAGGCCTAGTTAGGTCCTTTAATGAGAATCGTTAACTCACCTTACGTGGCCTAGAGTGTTTAAGTTTTTATTTGATTAGGCCCATTCTTGCCGATGATATCTTGCGTCCTGATAATGAGCAGTTGAAATTTTAAGCAAATATTTTAGACTTAATACAACCTCAAATATATTCTTGATAATGCTGGTGGGGGCAAATACAGATAGCTCGTAATAAAAGCAGTTTGGGATCTCTCGACCTCAAATGGAACAAAGTAAACTTGTGTAATTGGCATAAAGAGAAGCTGGATTTCGAATAGTCTCTGGAAGTGTAGAAGTTAAGGAAATATCGTGGCCAGAGCATCTTCACTGGATAACCCTTGTGAATTTAAGAGGCTATGACACCGGAAAGGCTTATCTTTGCAGACATAATAGGGCATCTAAAAGGCCTTAGCTCCTGGCACCATATTGTATGGCTCTAAAACCGGTATCTTGTAGATTAGCGAGATTATCTTAAAAGCTTTTGTTGTTGCGGGCACCTAAGTGTGTTCTGGCAAAATAGATAGATTTCCTCAGAGATCACTGTATGTGCCTTTTGTGCTATTCAGATATTAAGCTGGTTCTTTGATTGATTTATCAGGTTAGTTGAGTCCTTTTATCAAGACTAGGTTAGCTGGTCACCCCTTATGGACTGACGAATATCTAGAAATGGTGAAGCAGAGCTAGTCTCGGAGCAAAACGGGCATAAATATTTATCCAGAAACTATTCTGCCTGGCCCTGGATTGTAAAGGAGAGTTGTGTTACATCAAGCATTAGAAATTATGCATAAATTAGGACAAATTACAACAACGGGATCTTACAACCTTCTGGTGCGAGGTATTTTAGCCAGAACGAGTCCTCTAATTTTCCTCTAAAAGTAATTGTTAATCTTACCTTTACTTAAGACGATTACTACTATTGACGA